CAACTAAAGACACGGCCACGCAAAAACTGCAGCATGTGTACGGCTCCTTATCGGTACTGCTTGGAGGTGCTGGAGTGGCGTTCTGGTGCTCTCCGTCAGAACTGCACCCCTGTCAGACGAGCCATGTACCACGTGTTCAAGGACCCTGACCTTGGCCAGGAAAAACAGGCACTCGCCTGTTTAATTTTTTTGCGGTCTAGATTTCTTTACATTTTTTCTTTTTTGCGTGTTTATAAATTACCTCGAGCCCCGTAGCAAATGGTCTCGCGGGCCGTATACGGCCCGGGGGCCGGAGGTTCCCTACCCCTGTTGTATATGATATTTTGTAACTCAAAATGACATATGAAGTAAAATCATATCTCAGAAGCACACTATATTATGCCACTCTTGTCTTTGCATAAGGTATGAAGCCTGAGTCAGGATGGTTAGTCTACAGTAGCTTAACATAAAGGCAGAGAAGAAAGGTAAACAGCTAGCTTCGCTTTACACTAAAATACACATCTCTAGCTTAGTTAGCTCCCAGCTCCAGGTCTGTTCTTAACCAACAGTACAGACACAAGTGTTGAATACATTTCATTTAACTCTAGAAAAGTACATTTAGTGTATTGATGATGTAGTATTTCTCAGATGGCCTATGTGCACTGGCTATCTCGCTTGCTTGTTTATTTTCAGATAGCAACCAGCCATTGACACTCATTGTAGCTCAATTATATGTTTTCAGGGACCCCCCCCCCCCCCCCCCTTTTTGCAGCAGAAAGACCCTAACGGTTGGGAAAGCCTGTATTAACCCCTTGTCTCCTGTTGCTGACAACCAACCCCCCTCACCCCGCCACCAGTCCATTCTCATGCCTCCGCTTTTGTCATCAACCCATCGTCATCATCCGCATCTAACACCAGCCCTCTAGACGCCGCCTGTCTGTCATTCTCCCCCCCTCTCCCCCGCCAGGGACACCAGGTAAGGAGTCTGTCATCCCCACCCTTTAGGGACACCAATCATGTCACCTACACGCCGTCGCAAATCAAAAACGACAGCAGACACGCACAGGATGGATGGCAGGAGGGAAGTGGTAGACAGGACGGAGTGAGGGGTTATAAGTGATGCTGATATGATAAAGGGGGGAGACATCTCCCAAAGTGTCCTGTATTTAAGGAAAGAGGTGGAGACATTATAACATTATTGAGGAAGAATATAGTAGCCAAATCTAGCTAAGTACTGAGCGGCGAAGGCTCTCTTGGAGTGAGAACTTATTTTGAATTAAATAATAGCATATTTTTCGATGCAGATGTGTAGGTATAGCTGTTTCCGAGCTGCTTCTTACTATAATTGATTTCCCAGGGAAAGAAGGCTCTGCAGCTCTGCTTAATAATTAACTGACCAATCTTCAGCCCAAGAGAGGGAAGAGAAAGAAAAAGGGGAGCGCAAGAGGAAAGGAGTGAGTCAGGCGGCCTCTTAACGAGCCACTTCAGTGGTTCAAACAGCACCGGAAAGGCAGAACCATGGAGACGGAGAGAGACAAAGAGGAAGAGGGGGAGGGAGGAACACAGCCAGGGAGAGTGAGAGAAGAAACAGCTAGCACGAAAAAGAGGAAAATGCCTCTCTTGACGTCTCAGATTAGCTTATTCCCAGTCTGGCTTCTTTTGTAGTCCTGTAGCATGCTCTATTCAAGATGCTTTGGGTCTGTCGTGACACTAATGAGAATAATGAGATGAAAAAGTAAAATTGGAAGTTTATTTTTATAAAGGGTAATTCTTTTAGTGGAAAAAGAGATGTGCGATATTCATATCAAGAAGTCTCTCTTAACAGAGAACGTTTCCGTCCTGCCGGCAAAAAACAAATGTAGTGGGAAAAGCACATGACATTTAGA